GCCTTCACAGGATACAGTGGCATCATCCCCCAATTTCCCATAGCAAGCTGGAGTTATTTAGTCACAGGCCAAATCTTCCGCCAGTAAAAACTCCTGAGCACTATCTTCTGGAGGCAAACAGCTAAAATTGTCCACACAGCAACACCCATCACTCATCTCCTAGACAAGTCAGTCTTATCACAAGAAATATCTCAGAAAGCAAGCTTTGAGCCAAAAAACAAGGAAGGATTCTCACAGCTATTTTATCAGTTTGGGCTCTTAAAAGATACGTCAGACAGATATTCGGGATAGCGAGGGACGTGTCGTTCCTTTCTCTTATGGAAGGGAAACAACCACCTCTTTCCAATAGCAAAAATCTTACTGAGATTCATAAAGGGGATAATCCTCCTGTGATCCAAGATCGTAGCATTAAAAAGCATACAGTTAAACTCAAACAGACCTCTGGTAGAGTGCATTAATCCAGAAAGCCCGAGTCTGCAAATGTATTATAATTATAAGATGAATATGGCCAACTGATACTAAAGGCTACCTGTAAATTGTTGTAATTTGTATTCAGAGAGAATTCAGCATTCCAAGCAACCTTAAAAATAGATCTCTAATATTCTTACATCAATTAAAACCATGCAAACAGCCTACATAAAATGCAGGAAAATAAAGTTCTTCTTTCAACAGCATGCAGTCTGAATTTAAAAAATTTAAGTCACTTTCTCTGAGTGAGTACTGAAGCAATATCAGAATTTCTTATCCTTCCTAATGGACATTAGAGAACGAAGGCATGGAAGTACTGGTCTGGATCATTCAACTCAATGTAAACTGATACCAACACAGTGACAAGATGTCTTTACTGCTGTCATCTTGAAGAATGCAAATTGTCTAGGTTATACTTAGCTTCTGCTTAATTGATTTGAATCATGCTTTTCTTCCTTCAGTAGGACATACAGTGAATACTTATTTCATGTTCCAAGTGGTCCTTTAAAATCCCCTTAAAAAAATAATGTGTTTCATTCCACTGCATTAGTACATACAAAATAAAGCATCGATTCAAGAAACTAATTTTCACAAATCATTTTCTCTTCTTTTAGTATTTATCAATACTTAATAATAAAAACACAGATCCAAATTTATTTGTATCTCACATTAGTCGTACAAGGTATAAGGTGGAAGACCTAAAGAATGATTTTAAAAGTAAATAGGCTGGAACATGCTCTCCATTTACATGTCGATATTTGCCAGGGCTGTTTATGCTCACCCTGCAGAGTTGATTCACCTGCAAAGAAAGCACCAGAATCTTTTTTACTTTACTGTAGAACTCTTCAGTGCTTCTGGGAGCAGTTATAAAATGAAAAGAAAAACTGCTAGAAATATAAACCATGCAATTAGTTTTTCTGGCCCAACAGCAACAATTCTTAATTATTACATGTTGTCATCTCTAGTTGCTTTATTAGACGGCCAACTTCTTTGATTATTCTTATGATTAAAAGAACCCTAATTGAAACCTTCCTCAAAAAAAAAAATTTTCCTCTGTTTCTATATGACTGGTAATATATTTTGCATCAGACAAATACTTACATCAATTTTACAGAATTTAATAACGTAGTCAATGTATATATTTTTAATTAGCAACCCAAACTCACTGGAAAAATAACTGCTTGTTTGTCAGCATTGGGGAGAGAAATATAAATTCCTTCATACACACCTGACTTATACTACTAACATTTTAATTATCTTCCCTGATCCCCTAATAAACTGATGTGCTTGGCTATTATTCCAAGCTAATTTTCCTGGCAACTTGGCTTTTTGCCTGGTTAAGTGAAAAATTAGTTTCCATCTGAACTAAGGACAAGGTTGGGAAATCCTCAGTCATACTGATATTACCAATCTCTTCAAATAGTTCCTTATGGTAGATGTTGAATTCCCATTCACTTGGGTGCAAGAACTTCAGTCAGTCATGCCCTGGGATATACATTCCAGTAGAATTTGGCACAGAATAACTCAAGTGAATATACTGATCGTAGGTAAATAACTATTATGCCCGTAAGTTACACCACCTTCACAGGCATAAGCAGTAGCCCCTCCTGGAGTCTTTTACCCTTTCCTGTTCCACACCAAAAAGGAAAACATAATAGTGTCATTCCATGACGGAGGACACACACACAGTACACATGTAAGGAAGTGGAAGCCAAAGTTGATTAACATCTGGATCATTAAGTGGTCTGCTACTCTTTCATCTATTTCTTTTGATCAAAAAGCTGAAATTATAAATGGAATTCAGGAAATGAATGTTTGACCAAATCATATTAGGCTCCCAGTCTCAGTTAACATCTGTTGCATCCTATGAAAGGCTTAGGGAGCTATTGGGGAGTTTAATTTTTTTTTTTTAACTGAGCAGTTTCATATTTTAAATTGCTATTTCTTTATGATATTGGTATAATTTAACATATTAGGATAGTATAATGACCAGACACTGCACTGCTGCTTCATGGAAGAATAGCATACAGCTGCCTGTGCTTTGTGCAAGCAAAGCACTGAAAATAATAGCCTTGTGATGAAAGCACATTGAGTTGTTAATCACTTTCTAATATTCTATGCACAGAAATATTCTTGAGATAACTGAAATTAGATACAAACAGCTAGAGAAGGCATGATTTGAGTATCTATGTGATAAATATGGCCGTCTAACTGTATATGTGTAGAAACTGCCATATTTGGACCTACAGTGGAAAGAAAACCTAGTCTTTCCGTGCTCAGTATATCTATCAAACCCATAATTTCATATTTTTCATTCCAAATTGCTAAGTCCCAAACATTACAGAACTTGATGATCCAGATGTGCCACTATTTAAACGACATGAGTTATCTGGATAACTTTAGATATTAAGTGAGATACAAAGGCATAAACTGCAATAAATTCCAGAAGGGGAAAACTTGTTAAAAAAGGAGGTGGGGGAAGAGCATGAACAAATTCAAAGACAAGAAATACACTTTCTCTCTATGGCTCTACTTTGAAGTATTTCAAATATGAAACTTTTTCCAGTCAATTTAACCTTCTTTAAGGAAGTTCAGGCAGGATTCATCCTATACTGACGCTCTTGTCAGTAATAAAAAGAACAGATGTGAAATAGTTTTGACAGAATAAATAAAAATTTTGAAGGATGAACATTTAATATTCCAGTAAACAGATGTGAATTGATTTGAAGACTTAATCTCTCAAACCAAAACCCTGCATACTCGAACTTGCCTTGCATGTACTCTATGAACTTTAACTTCATTTCACATCTTACTATCCCATTTGATACATTTCCTAGAGCAAGTCAAATGATTAACCACATGTAAGTATTTCCTCATAATATAACCTCTCAGCTTGTGATCTTCTCTGAATTACAGTGTTAGTAAAACAAATTCAGAGGCACAAAAGCTGAGAGCCTCAATACAGAGTCTTTTTGATATTACATTTTTAAGTCTTAGCCTGATCTTCTTTACAGGAGGTTCAAAAGGCTGTAATAAAGTAATATAAACTTTCCAAAGAATTACAAATTAAATTGACTAGCACACAATCA